GCATCAACCAAATAATTCCCTTACTAAAATTAACTGTCGGTACATACCAGTATGTAAAACGTTTAAATTCAGAATTTCTTACACACATAAACCCTACTGATGTCACAATTCACTAGCTTAGGAACAGTGAATAAGAGAATTTAAATAAGAAATATTAAACGTTTACTGCGTAATAATCAAGACAATACCAATATTAAATTCAGCCAAGTCAATATACTATAGGCTACAGAGCACAGACTTAGGATAGGCTTCTATGTGATTAAAATAAGTTGATTATTCGTGTTTTTTTCCGTCTAATCACAATTGTATATAAATAAAATTATACATAAGATATTAAAATATCATTTATATATTTGGTACAACTTTTTACTACATGTTTCGGTTACATTGAGCCATCTTCAGGTGTAAAGTTAAAAGTTAAAATTATAATCTTATAAACAAAAACTTTTAACTTTTAACTTTACACCTGAAGATGGTTCAATGTAATCGAAACATGTAGTAAAAAGTTGTACAAAATATGTAAATGATATTTTAATATCTTATGTATAATTTTATTTATATACAATTATGATTAGACGGGGAAAAAACACGAATAATTAAATTTTAATTCACAATATGACGCAATTATATCAACTTATAAAATAAGTTGGTTTTTTTTTTAAAAATAACACAAATTTTTCGATGGCAAAACTACACCTGTCGCTGTCTGTGAGGAAAGAGCAGACGATAACGTGAGTAATGAAACAAAAACTGAAAGGATTGTGGACCTCTTAGATAGCCTGCAATGCCGATATGTGTTTCGGCTGACTGAAGAACATCGTAAACATGTTCCTTCTTCATATGTCTTCAGCGCCAAAAATCAAGTCTCTTAACTTGTAGTGGCGTCCAAATTTTATAATCTTCTCATCTATTTACAGGTCTTCCTAAATCTCTGATCAGTTTCGGTGTTTGTTTTATTGTAGTCTGAGGTTTTTTTTCCGTTCTTTGAAGGAGATCAATCCACTTTTATCATCATAAAACATGAGTGTGGCTCGATTAGAAATAGGAATATTGAGGAGCAGTGTAACGCACGGACAGGAAAACCATCTAATACATTGCAGATTCTTCTTCTATTATTATTATTAATTATATCTTCTGTGTTATTATTCTGTTTAAAACGATTAATTTCTCTCATAAGCTACTTTTGCTGCTTGTCTAGAAATCTCACTCTATCATCACATGTACAGAATAGAATTTCAGATATCTTTATTTTTATATAATCACTTTTTTGTCGTAGTTTTCAGATCAGGATAAAATGACAAGTTAAAATATAAATCTAGCACATACTTTACATAAACTATGACATTAAAATAGAGAAATACATCATATAGGCTATGTATCCTGATTCTTAAAACAAATTAAAGCAGATAAGATTTATTTAATAATGTGATTATTCCAGATGAAACGCAGACCTAAAGCAAGAATCGTGTCCTTCAATACTTACGTTTAAATAAAAGTTAATTTATATTTATAAACAATAAGAGATCTTATCAGTATATTAAATTTTCAACTGGATATGACTTGCGTAAAATTGTACATCTGATACGCGATCAACCAGCAGCGTTTCATATTAGCTTATTAAGAAGATACAGATGTCTGAAACAAAACACGCTTCGTTCTTCTTGTTCAGTGGCGTTCTCATTTCCTGCAGGGACAAAGATGAACTGAGTGGCTAGGAAAAGCAACAGCTGGTAACGTACGCACATTTTTCAGATAACCCAAAGTGAAGTAATTTTGATTTGTCAGAACTGTGAAGGCAACAAGGAGCAGAATATTCTAGGCCAATGTGTTATACGTATTACATCGGTAGAGCCATACTTAAATTCATCTAACAACGCAAATCCCATACATCAAATTTTATATAAATGTCTTCATTCGTTGCGGGGATGAAGCATCCTAGTAGACAGAGTATTAGACGTGACCTCGCCATTACATCGGACTATTACTTTCGTTTAACTAACTCTTACAATGTTAAGCCTGTATAGTTTTTTCTAATTTTATAATCATATTATTAAACTCTGAAATTTTAAAGTATAAGGTAAGAACTGAACAATTATAAAGTAGGGCTCTGACTTATTGTTAAACAATAAAAAGATACCCTACTTTTAAAATGCTTAAAATTTTAAACAATCCAGAGACAAATGTTTTTTTGTTATTTGGAAAAAGTTGAACTCTCACAGAAATTCAACTAAAATTATTTTAGAGCTAAAACGTCCATATAAACTACATTTCCGGAGAAGATTCATCACAACGTTCACATAATCCGCCAAGTAACCTTCCCTATTCTGAATCTACTAAAACCAGTCCACAACTTCATATTCTACCTCTCCAAGATATATTTTAATATTATCTTACCATCTAGGCCTACACTCACTCAAGTAGTCTTTATCTTTGAGGATTCCCCGTGCATGCTACCTGGTCCTCCCATCTCACCAGTGTTTAATTTCCCTGCCAATGTCATGCAAAGAATAAACGTGTCTTCCACATTTTGTTAGAATAATTTCATTTGACTGTGAGCGACTGCAGTCTGAAGCAAGCTGCTCAGGTACGTCAACCGGACCTTGAGCCTCTGCTGTAATAGTGATTTGCCCGAGCAAAGATTATATGGTAGAGCCTCAAAATGTCCAAGGATCAGGAACCACAAGACATGAATTCACTGCGTATCCTTCCAGACAAAGCCTGTCAATACGCGTATGATGTGGTAGGGCCAGACATTGTAAAATGTCACAATAACATTTGCTTTATGTAGAAGAAAAATATGGTCAGAGGAAATTACTACGCGTACTGGAACGAACGTGGCCATCATGGGGACCGAGACAAGCCCTGCCCACATTTAAAGACAGATATGAGAATTACAGGTTGGTATTCAGCTGGTAAACGGAATGATAATAATTAGGTGCTGCACTGTGGCTCGTTGTGCGAGTGACATTTGTTGGCTAAACAATGGGCATCGCTAATGAAACAAAGTGTCCTGTGGTGTCCTGGTTACCGCAACATGGCCTACCATGTTTTATAATTAATGTTCTTTTGTAGAAGGTACAACATCTGTGTGACTGGGAGTTTGACACTGCTTTGTTCACTGAGTTGTATAAACAGGTAACCCGCTCCAGACCGAAGGCCTAACCTTCTCAATCAGCTTCCCTTTTTATCTCCCCGCGCCCCAAATTCTGTTCATTCTTACACCAGAAATAATCCAAAAATATCTGACAGAAGAGACAGACACCTACATGTTCCTGACGTCCGGGGTTCGGACCCCTTTATGTCATTATGTGATGATACACAAATAATGTCTTACCCTGCACAGCTGAGTGTTCAATGCCTGAAGGGATACATCTCCATCAATAAAAGATCCGTCTACATGCATAGTACAACTTAGTCTAATCTTAGGATTACTGTGATTTAAGGTACTGAGATCGACACTCGAGACTATGAGGTACGCTTTTAATTAGCGTCCAATATCACGAAACGGTAATACTGAGCTTTGCTTGGGAATCAAGAGTTGTAATTATGAAATTAACCGCATTCAGGGATAATTAATAACAAGCTACAACCAACTAAATTACACGCCGTGTACACCCAATAGCAATTACATGATTATGGGGCTACAGAAGATGCAAGAAGAGAAGCCGTCTAGAGAAGCATATGCTTTTCAACTCTAGGGGAAGGGGGGGGGGGAGAAATCTGTAGATCATTGTAAAGAATTTCACCTGCCTCCCTCGCGTATTGGGCTCGTTTTTGTACAACTGTGTATATCCACTGCAATTAGGGCCATAACAAGGAGAAAACTGACTGATCTTTCAGAGCTACACAGAAGTAAGTCGGAGAAACCAGCTCAGTGCAGTTACTCTTGAGAAGCTGTCAGTCAAGTCCAGTGGCTGGCTTTTGTGAACACGGTAATGAAATTTAAATTATAAAAGCAGGGGCTTTCTTGGAAAACAGCACATCAACACGTTAATTTTTTTCAGTTAGCATGATCATAAGAGGATCAGTTAATTAGGCTACATGGGCCAAGGAACCGAACAACCATAACGCCTCAGTACAAAATAAAATAAATGTATTTTGTCGAGTGTCATTTCCAAATTGTTACACTTTCGAGACGTACTCTACTGTTCTCAGATTAATTGGTTCTGATCATTGCTACGAAACTGCGTTTATATCAGGAGTCAAGGCAAGCGAGACAGGTGATTCATGGACTATCAGAAGCTGCTTATAAGCCCGTCTTACAGTGAAGTAGGACTGCACACTAGACTCTAAGTAAAGTGTAGGAACTTAAGCCAAAAGTCGTAAATCATCTGACAATGATAAGAACGTATAAATTGTATGAAAAGTGTAATATTTTAGAAATGATACGATACTGCTACTACTACTACTACTACCAATAATAATAATAATAATAATAAAATTAGGGACCATTTATATTCTCGAAATGAGTGTAAGAATATCAGGAGCACGCTGAGGACGAAACTAATATAAAAATTATATTCACGAAGCAGATTAATTTGAATTAAACACTCCCCCTCTCCTCCACAACCTTTCATCTTTGAAAACCTGAATATTCTCTACCTTAGATTCCTGTTTATGTCGTATGAAGCTTGTCTCTCACTAGGTACGTGCGAAGAACATGAAAGATAATACTAAAATGGATATTAATAAACGCAAGGTCACAAGCGTGTACACCGGCTTATGATAGGGACGGTGGCAGGTTCTTGTTAATAAAAGATATGGAATTCTTTTAACAGCTGAGCGACTATTAGCGTAACTCTCCTCTATGTAGTTGCTTAATTACACGGTGCAATTTACTTTTGGTAGGTTAGACCTAATTATTGATGTGTAAATAATAAATAAAAGTGAAAATTAACTAGGCAGATGAAAAATACAAAAATGAACAGTCTCATGTTAAATTAATGAGATGGTGACATAATGGTATGTGCACTAATATATCAATTCTGTTTAAATTCCAGTGTGGCCATCACCTGACAAGACATTTCCACATGGATTCCAGTAAGTAAACTTTGTAAGACTTGAGGTTCTCACAGCGGTGAGTATGAAGATTTCTGTCTTCTGGGTTCTTGCGCTGTGTAGTCTGGTCGATGTTACCCAACGTTTCAGAGGTCATACTGCCTCCGTCATCAGGGCGGTGAGTATGAAGATTTCTGTCTTCTGGGTTCTTGCGCTGTGTAGTCTGGTCGATGTTACCCAACGTTTCAGAGGTCATACTGCCTCCGTCATCAGGGCGATCGCCCTGATGACGGAGGCAGTATGACCTCTGAAATGTTGGTTAACATCGACCAGACTACACAGCGCAAGAACCCAGAAGACGGAAATCTTCAAGTAAAATTTTACCTACAGTAATACACCAAGGCGTATATAACCCAAGTTTCTATTCGTTTTTCTATCCATCTTTATTTTTCACTGTAGGCTGTTAAATTCCAAATGTAATCGAAATTTATTCAGTAGCCATAGTTTCTGAAATGAAACACGTGGATCCCTATAATGTTCGCATTGCGCGTTTATTTCATATTTCTTAATGATTAATTCGTTTTGTATTAATAATTTTTGCTGAAGAAAAAAATTTTCGGTTTAGACATTAGTTCACTTCCTTCATTTGTAACCTTAATATGAAATTGGTTTAGTTAAATGAGCCCGTGGAAGACGCGGGCTGCACCGTGTGCTTCCCTCAGATGTGTGATGTGAGTGGACGACGAGACCAATTCATTTACCTGCAGCTTCAACCTTCCTATGTGACGTCACGTAAAAGAAATTTTATTTCGAAAGTTATTACAGCAGTAAGCTACATTTTGTGATCAACGCGCTGAAAGTTTTGCACGAGATGAGGCTAATTGCATTACAGGCAGAAATGAGAGCGTTCAACTCACAAAAGCACTGCGTCTAGCGGGTGCATGTTATAACAACTGCGTTGAACAGAAAAAGTTTATTTCTCGAAAACAGATCTAGCCGGATCTTGGAGTGGTTCACGCCTTGTATTTTTTTTTTAAGTACAGCCGACAGAAACACCTGCAAGTGGCCGATCCAACAATTACAAAGACATATAATTACAGTTTATCCCTTTGCTTGTAAATACTCAATACATATAATAATTTTAATACCCTCGATTACTATTTTCTATAATCTCTGTTAACGATATTTCTACAATTGTTTGTGGCCACATTCCTATTTTAATAACAGTTAACTAACAAAACCTCACTGTTCTCTAAGTGTAATTACCATTAAAATTACTCTGTAACCCATTAGGCCAGGCTGGCAATAATTTCCAACAGACTTTAAGTTTGCAAGGAAAGTTAGTTCATTAGCGACTTTCATATTTCTGTACAGTTTACAGGAAAGTAAAAGTGACTGTAATCTTACGATGTATGCCGAATTCAGCTCCGTACTCAAGGGGGAGGGTGAGTGGTCAGTTTCGTTCTCCAGTCGTCTTAACCTCAAGTAAATTATGCGGTAATGTAATCACTGATGGTTGAAACAGCGGATGGACCTCAAAGCCATTCCACGCGTGTTGGCAATGTGATTAACGCTCGTGAGAAGTATTTTAGAACATTTTGTTAGAGTTTTCTAAAATGGTCGATTTATAACACCACAAGTATTTTAAACACCGTCCATTGTCTAACGTGTAACTAATTTAATATACTCAACGATTCGGAATCTGAGTTATTGCAGTCTTTAGGTGATATGATGTCATTATTCTGACAGGTTTTGTTTTGCTGTGTGAATGTAGATTACGATAATAGCCGACGAAATGAAGTGTTTAAAAATCGTATGGGCCAAATAGACGACCGACAAGGGACAATGTCACACATAACTCTAATATGACATAGTTTTGTCACAAAGTTATTGAGTAATGAAACAATTTTTTTTTAAAATCGGGCCATCGTTCCTGATGGAAACCCAGGAATTCGTTAGTACGAACAATATGAACAGTGCTAGACACAACCAGACAAGAATTTAATCATCTGCTACGAATTTAAACTAGACTTGAGTTTACAAATTTGTTGATATTTGAAGACAGAATTCCGATGCCGAAAATTATTATAATTATGAACAACTGTTAGTCTATAAATAATTACACGAATTATTGTAATTGATGCGCAATTAAGTGTCTTCCATTATTTTCGATCTTAACTTCTCACTGGCAGAAATTTGAGTAATATGTTCAACGAACACGTATTAAGTAGGGATAATAAGTAGGCATACAGGTTGCGAGGAAATGCAGGTGTGGGAAAACGTGACAGACATGTGAACCTAAGTCACGGTACTTCGAGACGCTGGGGTTGAATAAAGCTTTGTTGCGCAGACCCCACAGAACCCCACCCCAACGCATGACGAAGTCACGTAGGTCCGAGCCTTCGAGATCGAAGGTTTGGGGCTCTATGATAGTTTCAGTGGGCCTTTAGGTCTAAACCGCAGTACTGACAAATGGATTTGCATGCCATTTACTGTAGGCCAATAAATAATCGGCTCCCTGATGATGAAGGCAGCAAGTACATCTTAAACGTCGGTAAACGTCTACCAGACTATCAAAGAACAAACGGTAATTATGTGACAACAATCAATAGATCTTCTATTGTGTTTATTTATTTCGAAAGATTCTCATTGTAAACAAGATTATTTCCTTAATCAGCGTTAACCGCGTGATATTTGTAATGGTAAACAGTTGTGTTTTCTTTGCGGTAAGAACTGAATTCTTAAATATTATTCAGACGAGCTACGACGTCAAAGGGTTAAATTTGAGATTACTAATGTTTTGTCATATGGGGCTATTTGGATCGAAGCCATAAAAATTAATGGTAGTAGAGATGTAACAAGGAAAATGCCGTGCATCACGCATAAATCTATCAACTGGGCAAGTTCATGTTGTCACATTTAGCTTCCGGTCACGAGGAATAGGCATGAACGGATAAAGTGAAGAACACGGTTGTGTTCCAACAGATGGCACTGGTTACAGACGCTGTAGACTATCTGATCTTACGGTAACCACGACAGCCTCTCCCTTCAACACAATTTATCGGTTTTGTTAAAGACTATTTATACACTAGAGCTCAATGTTTACTGTGTAGAGCTATTTAAATAATTAGGGATTACATCTGAAAAACGTATGACGCTAAAATATAATCCAAAATATAAAGTTACTAAATATTCGCAATAACATTAAATGCAGAAATGCAGATTGAGAATTAAGAAAAAAAAATATTTAAGGAGCACAAATACGCAGCAGGTCTCACGCCACGCCACAGAATTTTTCTTGGACATTAATAATTACTCATCTTATCAAGATATTTCCCGTTTTTAGGGAACCCGAAATTTCATCACTATGCTAACATAAAGCCGGTGTTGGATCTCATCCCGAGTCACATAAATCCATTCCACAAACAATTTAATTAATATAAATTTTAATATTACTCTTTCGTCCAAGACTGGACCTCATAAGTGGTCCATCTCTTGACGTTTTCCAGTTAGAATGGTGTGGAAACGTCGTGTCTCGTACGAATAACTCAAGTCGTTGATGATCACAGACTATTAAAATTGCGCATGTCTCATTGGGGTTAAGCGTATATAATTCCAATGAAAAGGACTCATTACTTGTCATCATGGACGTAGGCTTCTGAGTGGCATTTCCTGCTGTAACTATGGCAACAAAACTAACAATATGAATCATGAGAGAAATTGATGTTGTAAAGAATAAAGATTACAGAGGCAAGCTTACATGAACCCATAATTCTTACATCAGACTACCATCTCTACAGTAAAATATATTACTACGTGTTCTATATTCATTTGTTTTTATGCCAGGGCTGTACAAATGGAGATTCTTCAATTGCTTCCGTCAAAAAAGTAATGTGGAGATGAAACCAACAAAAAAGAAATTTGAACTTCTCAGTTTCTAAGCAATCTTTTGAAATAGGCCTATAGTAGTTCGGTTCCACTGTTCTAAAACTTTAATACAATGACACATTTCGACAGAAATTGAAAATATTTAGACATAAGAAACGGAAAGTAATAGCAAAATTTATACCATTGCACGACTACAATAAGAAGCCTCAGAATTGTGATCTTTGCCTAAATGATGAAGTGTCAGTAATTAAATTAAGGACAGATGGATGGATTGTCACGATCAAACAGGATTAAAATTATAAATGTGTTCAGACGTTTAGCACCAGAAACCTGAAGAAAAGAGAGAGCACTCATGAGACCTATGAGTAGATGGGAAGATAATATTAAAGTGTATCTTAGAGACCATCTTATCAACTAGGACTTATACTTTTTCCAAGAAATAACTTTCTGTGTAGTTAATCAGTCAGTAAACCTATCAGTGGCGCTTGGTCGCTGGGACCGTGGTTTCGAATCCCACTCAAGCCACGGATGTTTGTCCGAGTTTTTCTGTGTTGTGCTGTCCTGTGTACAGGTAGAGGCCTTGCGACGGGCCGATCCCTCGTCCAAGGAGTCCTACTGAATGTCTATAGATCGAGCCAACGAAAAGTTGGGAACCGCGGTTCTCAGGCACTTAAAGAACGGGTCGTTCCCAATATCCCCAGTAAACCTATCAAAGAGCCTTTTTCTTGTCTTACGTCAGCCGTGCATTTCTGTACTATCCTCAGTTGATGGACTGATTCTGCATTTGACCTACGCCTACGAATTCACACAGAGTGTCTGACAATGTTCATTATCTCTGTACAAATTCTGAGTCATAGAAGGTCAAAGTACGTTGGTTACAACAGCCAATATAACCTGGATAGGCTATTCACTGGGCTAATTAAAAGCTATGATCGCCCCAGAGTGCCACAATACGTCTATTTCCGAGACAATAGAACTGAACAGGGCCACTGTGTTCAAACCACTCTATAAAATCTCCATGGCAACCACAGCGGTTTTCGTAAACAAGAGAGCTGTATGTAGTGAGTGACAGGCCACAGAATGTATTTCTCACGCCTGAGTGCCGACTGTAGACCACGTGACGCTTTCAGTAATGGCGTGTCTATCTGAGTTAT